GGAAATTTTACCCACAGGAGGCTGGATTTGCCCTGGGATTTCTGGCAAGGTCTGAGAGACACCTCTTCCTTAGTAGTGAGGATGGCTGGAATAGAGAGAGGGACCTAATACGCAAAAAGTTCTTGACATGTGCCAAACACTTTATATATTTAAATTTTTAGCATAAGCCTTGGCTATAGGTGTTAATCCCTAATCATAGCTTGAAGAATTTGAGGCTCAGAGGGGTTAAGTGTCTTGTTCAAGGTCTTAAAGCTAAACAGTCAAACTAGGAGTGAAGTTTGGGCTGGTTGATGACATGGTTATGATCCGAACCGTGCAGCCTATGGAAGGAGAGGTAACTTTGCTGTCTTTGAAGGTTAAGACTTTTCCACCTTTTGTCTTGTTCTAGGGTTTCTTTTAATGTCCAAACATTTGCCAAACTCCCACATGGCAGTATCTCTTTGATATTAGGAAGTACATAAGTTTCACAGACAAAGTACCTTGCATTCAACTCAGTACCTTGTTCTCTATATCGAGCCCGTCATTCGTTGGTATTTACACTTGCAGATACTGAGCATGTACTATGTAGAAGTCACTGGCCCAGGAGCTAGAGGTAGGAGAGGTTGAATATACAGAATCTGGAGGAAGGAAAGGCCCTGGGTTCTGGTGTCACGATTACTTCCTGTTCTCGCCCCAAGTGTCTGAGGCCTTTCATGGGGGGCTTCTGGATAAGGTGGCTCCCAAGGGGAGGAGGTGGGTATGGATGGAGGGAGTTTTCTTGGCACGTTATGCCCATTTATTATGGTTAGTACAGTCACCACAAACACCTGCTAAGGTGCACAAAGCTGGGGAAATGAGACAGAAATACAAAACTAATAGAAATACAGAAATATTTTGAAGGGGAGAAATTGCTCATTTACTTAAAAATAATGGACAAACCCTTTAAAGCTTGTGATGCATTCCTTTGTACTTTATGGTTGTCAGGAGGCCTTTTCACTTGGAGAAAGTCTTCCTGGTTTAGAGAATTCTATGCCAGAGGAAAGCGCAGGATTATAATCCTAATACTGCTACCAGTTTGCTGGATGACTCCAGGTGAATTATTCAACCTATTTATGTGTCACAATATGTTTTCTGTGGGATTGCCAGCAAATGGATTGTGATAAACAACAGCTATTCAGTGTGCATAACAGAACACTTCTGCTTTTTTTCTCTGGGTCAGAAGAGCTGACACAGGCTCACATTGTACACACGGCATAAAACCCTTGGGAATCTGGGGACGCCTGGGTGGCTCAGTTGGTTAAGC